ATTACTTTGCTTACACAACATTTGTTTCATGTTGTTAAAGGCACTGCGGGCTTTCTCTATTCTTATTCTTATTTCTCTGGTGTATTCGTTTGACTCGTTAATATTTGTTCCGAGGTAATTGTAATTTTGTACTCGTTCAATGAGATTCTGTCCTACATGTAAGTTGATATTATTGATACGTTTCTTTGTAATTATCATGAATTTGGTCTTCTTTGTATTCAGTGACAGACCAAATTCTTCACTTGCTTCTACCACTTTGTTTAGTAATCTCTGTAGGTCGTCAATATTTTCTGCTATGAGCGCGGTATCATCAGCATGTCGGATATTGCAAATCTGGTGACCGTTGATCTTTACTCCGGCTTTTTCGTTCATAAGAGCTTTTTTAATAACTTCTTCCGCGTAGACATTGAACAAGGTTGGAGACAACACACAGCCCTGCCGGACACCTCTTTTGATCTGTATTCTATCTGATATCGAGCTGTTAATTCGTACTGTAGCTTCTTGTTTGTAGTATAGATGCCTTATCACTCGCATGTCCCTTGTATCAATATTTTTATTATCCAGTATTTGCATCAGTGGCCTATGTTTTACTGTATCAAATGCTTTGTTATAGTCTAGGAAACACACAAATATGTCCTGATTTACGTCTAAAGATCGTTGTGTTAGAACATTAAAAGCAAACAGTGCCTCTCTAGTTCCTAGTCCGTCTCTATAGCCAAATTGAGAGGGTCCGATGTCAACTTCCAATGAACTGCATTAACAGACAGGAATGTGGCTTGTTAGGAAGGCTTGATTAGAGAAAATCATCGAATTTTAACCAGAGAAATTTCAGAACTTTTTGGAAAGAGAAAAGAAAAGGGTTCCTCGCCTTTTGTCAGAGGACCAAAAGCTTACGAGCGGGTTTATCATCACAACAGCGCACCTTAACTAGAACAGAAATTGAATCTTCTTAAACTTGGATTTTGAGGATAATAGGTATAATATACAGTAAATTAGAAATACAGTTGTAAACAATTTATTTATTAAAGAAACTTCAACTTATAGACTATACAGATTGATGCCTTCTTGACATATTTTTTACAAACTCAAAAGTAGTTATACGTTTTTCCTGTAAAAGACGTGAAACATGGGATATTCAATGAAATTTCTTTTAAGACAAATTGCTTTTCGATATACTCTATAAGGAACACTACTTATTACTATAATATAGGTATCTATTTGAAAATTTTTTAGAAGCTCCAAAAATTTGAAAATATGAGGATGACAAGTATAAAACTAAATTTTCAATGGAAGGTCTTGTATGCATTCGGCGTTATTTGTAGAGAAATACTATTCTCGGCCCACATGGTGGGTGAAAGTTTGGCGTCCTTAGCGATGTAGTTTTTCACCAAGAAATCTGCAAATTTTTGAGCTGGATTTCTGGATTAGATTGCTCCAAAATCAATCGCAAGGCTTTGTCTTCTTAGTCCAGGAAGAAAAAAATCAAACACGTATTTTAAGTAACACGAAATGTCTGATTCTTTCGAATGTTCCGTTGCGAATTCCAGTTTCTCAATCTTTGGTCATCTGTTTCATATAAATAAAGTTGAATTCATGGAATTGTTTCTTTGTGAAGAAGCTTCATGGACTTCTCACAAATGTCTTTAACGACCTTTCTCTTCAGTGGATTGTTGAGTTTTTGGAGGTTTAGCGTTTCTAGACTGTTACTCTCATGGTTGTGATCACCTTCAAAGTGGAGTAAGGATTCTGTACGGTGCCGAAGTTACCGTTTTCATATACAACTTACATTCACAGTCTGCACACTGCTATCACTTTAATTCTCCTGGCAATAACTTGTGGACATAATATTTAAAACTGTTCACCACTAGCATGGGTTTCCCTGTTTGCCTTAACATTTATGTAGCTTATATCTTCTATAACGATATGATCAAGAACAAGCAAGCCACAAAACTATCAGCAAACTAATTTGAAATAAGTTTGTGGTGAAGAGGTATACAAATTTAAAGAATGATGAAAAGATCCAGTTTCTAACTGGCCACCCTAATACCTTCGCTACATCGCCTACCTCCATAATTTTTCAAAATTTCATCGGGAGCCAATTCGCACAAACACCTTTATCGGTAGAGGGCTTATTACCTTCGAGCAGGAGCCAGTTCATATGCACCCACAACACCTTTAAATATAATTTCCAGAAATTATTGTCGGAAAAATTGAAGTGATGGCAGTGTGCACATTGTGGATGTAAATCGTATGTGAAAACGGAAAGTTCCCCACCATACACAGTGCTCGACTTTGGTGATGATCACTACGTACCTCTTGTATATGTCTTGCTTCCCAAAAAGGAAACCGTTTTCTACCTACGTGTATTCCAGTTGTTGAAAGAGCAATGGACCAATAGAAGAATAATTTTTGACCTAGCCTTCTATATGTGGATTTTGAAATAGCAATTTACAAAGAAGTTCACCAAGTTTATTAAAAGAGTTGATTAGTTTATTAAACCATTCTTAACTTAAGTGATTATAACTTTAATCATATGAAACAGGTGGAGAACGATTCAGAAATTGGGTTAACAACGGAATATTTGAAAAAATCAGATATTTACGTGTTTGGTATCTTTTTCTGGACTACGAAGATGTAAGCGATTTTTTTTGCAATTGATTTTGGAGCAATCTTACCCAAACATCCGGCAGTTAAAAAATTTGCAATTTCTTGGTGAAGAACTACATCGCTGAAGACGCGAAATGTCTACTTACCCTTACCAGGTGGGCCGGAAATTGTACGTTTCTGTAAAAAAAGACGAATTTATGCGAGAGCTTCCAATTAAAATTCAATTCTTTGTTTTAAACTTGCCATCCGAATATTTTTCAATTTTTGGAGATTCTGAAAATTATTCAAATATATATAGCTAAGATGTAGTAGTGTCCCTAAAGAGTATATCGAAAACAATATGTCTTAAAATAAATTTCATTTAACATCAAATAAGTCTTTTACAGAAAAAAAAACGTATAACTGATTTTGAGTTTGTAAAAAATATATCAAGAAGGCATCAGCCTGTATAGTCTGTAACTTGCATTTTCTTTAATAAATAATTGTTTAGGACTACATTTCTAATTTCTGGTGTATGTTATACCTGTTTTCCTTAAAATTCAAGTTTTAGAAGAAGATTCAAATTCTGAGAATTTAGTAACGAGCGGGAGCAATTTTATGTATAAAAATACGGGGTTGGGAGCCAATTCGCGTAGGATTAAAGTAGTTTTATACAGCTCGGGATCTAGTTAAGGTGCACCCAGAAACACACAGATTTTGCACCACCAAAGAAGTTTAATGTTTAACCTTCTGCAGGAAAGTGTTACGTGCGGTTACCCAAAAAAATATTAAATTAAGTGGTATTTTTCTGAAAATAAGATACGGTCATTGTTTAATTGAAATAATACTGTAAAACGTTTTTGGACTGAAACTTAGAATTATATACGTGTAACTTAAATGAGCTTTGAACTAAAGTATTTACTTATCATTAGGATATTAAAATTATTTCACAACATGGCGCCCGTCCATTTTAATAACTAAACTTTAAAAATTTCGAACAAGAAAGTATCAAGAAAATCTGTTTACCGTGGAACAGTTTTGGAGGCGCACTTTATCACCATACATATACAATTCCCTTATTTTACTAACTAAAAAAACGTTTTTGCTAGAACAGAGTCACAAAATCTAGATGGCATGGAAGGCGTTGTTTTGCAAATAATGGAGTGTGGCTTTACTTTATCAGACGCCTTAGAATAATATAGAAAAACTAAAATCGTAAATATTAAATATAATTTTTTGGTATAGTTTACATACATACTGATAACTAATATCACATCATGCCTATTTCAATTATCTCTGTTGGTATGCAGTCAAATATTTAACCTATTTTTAGCTGATGACGGTTCGGATATTCTTTAATTGTTAAATTATCGCTAATTAGCTGGATAACACCTTTCATTTGATACATCTATTCTCTGAACGCGTAATTGTTTGTTGGACTAAATAGTTAAAGAATTTTGTCCTTATGTAATCGTTTTATTTTCGTTACAATAAAAGCAAAACCTTTCAGGTCACATTGTAAACGGAATACATGTACAAAAAAATGATGTTACTTGATGTTACCGAGACATTATATTCTATAGTGAACCAAATGTTTTTATAGCCAAGCTAAAGAATTGAATATCATTCTATAATATTGGTTTGGAACAAAATGGAAAATGAACAAATTAAATTAAGTATATCATAGGAAGTATTACCAAAAGGAACGATTTTGCTAAACCTATCGTTTTCTTAACGTGGCAACGGAATTAATTTTACTGTAATCAACGTGCTCTCTATATTATATTGTACAAGTGTTGATGAGTTAGGTTAGGTTAGCAAACAGCAAACAACAGTTGGAACAAAGTAAGAATTGAGTTGTGGAGGTATTTATTGGAACGAACACAAAGCTTGATACCGTGTGTAGGAATAGGTGTTACCTCAACGTTTTTAACTTTGCATAATCTTTCTTCACGTAACAGTCATATTTTATCTTCATCATCAGTTGGCGTTACAGCCCTTCATGAGTCCTCGCCTGCCTAAATCCATCCTTCCTTGTCGAGTGTCTGTCTTCTCCATCCCCTTACGCCAATCTCCATTAAATCGTCCTGTATATCGTCCAGATAACTAAGTTTCGTCCGCTCCCTTCTTCTTCCGACAGGGCTATTTAGCATGGTTATTTTAGCAATATCAGTTTCATTCATCTGCATAACGTGGTTCGCCTATCTTAGGCGGTTTAATTTGATAGTTTTCACGATATGGGCATGACCAAAATGTCTATAGAGTTCGAAATTATATCGCTGTTAGTTAACTCTGCCATATATGGTCCTCAATACTTTTCTTTCAATATATTTATTTAAATGAGAACGTACATTATAACACTTCGAAATGGACTACCTCAGATGAACGTACTAAGTTTCAAGAATGCTTTCAAGAAATCAAGAATTGTTTCAAGAAATCAATAAATCAAATGACAAGGAGGAAAATCCTAAAGAACACAATCAAAGTAACTCAGTGTCGATAAAATCAAAAGAGAAGTCTATTCCAGTTTTAGATGGTAAGCGAAGTGTTAATTTACAGAAAACAATTTAATACATATATATATATATATATATATATATATATATATATATATATATACAAACAAGATAGTTTATTAGGGTTGCAGTCAGAATATTGGCCGGGATGTTAAAAAAAACACTCTTTTGACTTTTTGTCGAGCTTTCGGAATGGTTTTATTCCTTTTTCAAGACTATTTCTTGTATATATATATATATATATATATATATATATATATATATATATATATATATATGTGTATAGAATGTATAGAATAACTGCAGTCATTATCGGACAATAAGTCTGATGAGTCACGTTTTGAAGATCTTTCTGCGAGTAATATATAGCAGAATATACACGATATTAGAGGAGAGAATTAGCAATACTTTTTGTCGGATTTAGGACTAGTTTAGGTACGAGAGAAGCCTAGTTCAGTATCCAAGTATCCAAGTTCTGATCCAGAGATGCAGATTTTACTCTTTGTATTCAGAAAAATGTTGAAGGAATCCCTAATGGAGACAACTGAAGATATTTTTGTTAATGATGTAACCGTAAACAATATTAGATATGCCGACGATACCTTCAAATGTGTCAGAGTACAAAATGAGCTCACTGAGAACTTTTCAGTAGTTAAAAGATTAAAACAAGGAGACGGACTGGCATCGATACTATTCAAACTGAGTCTCGAATATGTGATAAGACAGCTGAATATAGGAAGAAGTAATCTAACAAATAAATCAATACAGATTGCCGCCTATGCCGATGACATCAGCATTATGTCTTGCAGAACAAAAAAGACGGCAGAAATATATTCACAATTAAAAACAGGGGCAAAAGAGACCGGACTAGAAATAAATATTCAAAAGACAAAAAAACTAATACAGGCAAGAGCTAGGGGAAACAGACGCACAGTTGAATTAGAGGACGATATTAAAACTATAGAAAGTTTCACGTATCTGGAAATTGCATTAAACACGAATGGAACAGAAGAACCAATGTAAACAAGAATAGTAAAGGGAAACAAGGCTTACTTTTCACTCGCCCATGTTTTCCGCTCTAAAAACACAAACTGAAGATCAAAAATCAAGGTCTACAAAACTATTATCAAACCAATAGTAAGATATGGGTGTGAGACATAGGTGATGTCACAAGGCACAAAACGAAATATGTAAGTCTTCGAAAGAAAAGTCCTAAAGAAGATATTTGAACATATTAAAGAAAACGGACTATGGAGATCCAGATACAGTCATGAACTCTACAAACTGTTCAAAGAGGTACCGATCTCAGAATTCGTTAAACTTCAGAAACTTCGATTGGCTGGTTATGTAGCTAGAATGGAGACCGAAAGATTACTAAAAAGAGCCCTAGCTAGTAAAATGCAGGGCGCAATATCAAAAGAAAGGCCAGGAATTAGGTGGGGAGATGAAGTGGCAACGGACGCACAAAATAGGCTAGACGTGAGAAGCTGGAGAAGATCGGCGCGGAACCAACAATATTGGAGGCATAGTTTGGAGGAAGCCAAAGCCCGATTTGGGCTGTAGCGCCATTGAAGAGAGACGATACGGTAGTGCTGGCTAATTGCGGAGAATACCTTCAAAATTATATATAATTCATATAAAATACCTTGTGAATGTGACAATTTTTATCTATTGTTCTGAAGCTATTTTCTTGTGGCATTGTAAATTAATTACTATTTATAACTGGGAATAAGCCACAATTAAAGATAAAAATATGTTTATTGACGTTTCAATTTCCAATTCGGAAATCGTTCTCAAAATACAAACAGTAAATTAAACAAATTTTGTTTTTTGTTACATAGTGAAAAAATTCTTCTAATAATTTAATTTTATCTGACTCATTTATATTGACAATTCAGACATACATTATGCATTTTAAAGTAGACGACTTTAAAATGATATTGCCAATATTGTTGAGTTGCGCTTCTGGGACGACTTTACTCATAAGATAGTTCATTCGATTACATGAAATCAACTTTAACTTGAGAATATCCGTCAGAAAAAATCATAGCATGTAATTCGTCTTTAAAAAGACAAACACATGACATGATGACAGTAAAATTCTCCTGTTAGTGATTCCATAGTAAATTATGAGGGAAAAAACCAGGAAAAAAAACCTCATAATACTATCCCGACATTGTAAGTATTTGTTCGTGAATTTAGTTTACCTTCAACAAACATCAAAATTCTGATTTTATATGTTACGTTATTTAAAAAATATAAATGATGTATCCTCTATATGTTACTGACTTACTAATACTGGTATTTTCTTATTAATAACTTCCTCTTTCAATATTGGTAACCAGATCCTACTACATTCTGCCGAGGAATTTGCGACACAATTGGCCTCATTTAGCATAATTAGAGCCGCTTCTTTGATTTTTCTTTTTTTACCATCCGTTTCTTTTAGGACTATATTTGAATTATTCCATTAAACCCTATGTTCATTATCCCATGCGTGTTTACATATTTGAGATCTATCAAATTCCCTATTTTTAATATAAGATTGATGTTCACTTATTCTAACATTTAATGGCCTTGATGATTCACCTAAATAAAACTGATCGCATTCACAAGGTATTTTATAAATGCAATTCTTTGTCCTTTCTTGTTCATTGTTAGGTTTAGTTTTGGACAAAATAGATCTCAACGTGTTTGTTGTTTTGAATGTTGTTGAAATGTTGAATTTATTTCCTATCCTTTTAAGTTTTTCTGATAATCCTTTTATGTACGGTATTGTTATTTTCCTCATATTATTCCTTGTGTATGCTGTAGGATAAACAAAATTTGTTTAATTTACTGTTTGTATTTTGAGAACGATTTCCGAATTGGAAATTGAAACGTCAATAAACGTATTTTTATCTTTAATTGTGGCTTATTCCCAGTTATAAATAGATATTAATTTTTATCTAGGTGAAACTTCAAGACCATTAAGAATAAACTAGCAAAAATTTGATAGATCTTAAATATACAACTATGCTTGAGACAAGAAACATGGAGTCCAATGGAAAGATGCATCAATAGCTTTAAAAGAAATAGATAGTAAATGGAAGAAAATTAAGGAATCTGCCTTCATCTCACTAAATGAAGATAATTCAAATAATTCAACCATTCAAGTTAATTAAAATGTAATAATTTACACATTAAAAAAAATAAAACTCGACTATCTAAAGAAATCACCCAAGCGAACAAAAATCCATTAAATTGTTCTAAAAAGGTACATTTTAAAACCCTTTGTATTCCATATAAAGTATGTGCCTCCAAAATCAACAGTATAATGCATCAAGATCTGGCTATTACTAGATAAAAGAAATTTCCAGTAAGAGTATAACAATATTAATGAGTTACTAGTTGGTCAGAGACATACACTTCGTTTGTATTCTTCAAGTGTCATCTCCCCGACGGAGGTCGGCAATCATCATAGTTATTCGGACTTTCGAAAGAGCTGCTCTAAAAAGTTTATTTGATATACATCTGTACCACTCTCTTAAGTTGCCCAGCCATGATATTCTACGTCTCCCTACGCTTCTCTTTCCTTGGATCTTTCTCTGCATAATCAATTGGAACAAGCTGTATCTCTATCTACGTGTAATGTGTCCGAGATATTCCAATTTTCTTGTTTTTATTGTATTTAAAATTTTCCATTTATTTATTTATCCATTATTACGTACAATATTCTTCATACCATTCAGCTGTCCAGTTGATCCAATGTTTTTTTAAAGAGAGTATAAAATTTAAAAATTGTACTTTCATTAATATTCATGAGAATATTCAAGGAACGACCTACAAGGTGGTCCAGAATTATGTACATTAATTTCTAGAGCTTATAGTACGTCCAAAAATAAGGGTACTTCTTTATGTACACTTTTTTATAAAAGTTAATAATAAGGGAGATACAAGCCTTTAAAGGGGTGAATTGAAATTCTTATTTTTTCAAATATCTTCCAAACGGTTTTGAATACGGAGTTCATATTTTGGGAGTGATTATAAGACATTAGGATAATTAATTTCATGCCACCACCTACTACATCCTATATTAATACAGGGTAGTTTTGGAGGGTAAGTGGGGGTTATTGCGTTACATGTTTTTTTAATTTTTACATATTTTAAAAAAATGTTTTAAAAATTGTTTCCTTAGACTTTTCTACGCAAAAAAGGTGCTCTTGTAATATTTCGATAGATATCACCGTTTTCGATTTATTTAAACTCGAAGGTATACATGTATTTTATTGGAATCGTTACATTTATTAATATTCATCAAGTATGCTTTGGAATTGACAGTTGTGTTTATAAGATATAAAATATGAGCAATAATATTACAAATTAATGGAAAATTTAATTAATACTTAACATTTAATTAATGGCGAAAATAATATTTCACAACAACTGTTCAAAATGTCCTCCATTTTGTTGAATACATAATCTAATTCTTTTATTTAGCGAACGCATTAATCCATTTAATGTTACCGGATCGTTTTGTAAATCGGTAAATACTTGTTCAATTTTGTCTCTTAACTCATTTACTGTATTAATTGGAGTGTTATACACTTTTGATTTCAAATAACTCCATACTGTAAAGTCCATTGGATTAAGATCAGAACTACGAGCAGGCCAATGAATCGGTGCATCCGCACCCCGGCCTGTTTCTTCGTATTTGGAATGGAATATCTTCCAAAATATCATGTAAAATATTGTCTAGAAAATTGTAATACATGTTACCATTTCAATTTCCGGGAAAGATGTGGTATCCTATGAAACTATTTCCTAAAGTAGCTGCCCAAACGTTTATCTTGAACGTGTGTTGGAAGTGAGTTTCCATTGTAGCCCTTGGAGTTTCTTCAGCCCAGAAGTGCATATTTCTAGAATTGGACATACCTTGTCTTGTAAATGTGGCCTCGTCTGTATGATTTAAGCAACAGAATATTGCTTAAAAAATTTGGTGCAGTTTGAACTTTATTTTGCAATACTTCACAAAAATCAA